TTGATATATTAGTTGCGAGGGACTCAAACTCGGACAACTGTTGAGTTGGCGCCATACTTTCCATTTCTGGGCGTTCATCACCACTTTGATCCAAATGTATACCACTTGAATCCAATTCGCCCGATTCCTGATTGGCTGGTCCAACTTGTGAGTCATCACCACTAGAATCGCCATCACCACTCGAATCGCCGTCCTAAAAAATGTGAGAATCATAATAAAAGTGGTTTGATGAAAAATTCCATGTGCTTCCAAATATTGTTGAAGGTCAAAACTCTGATATTCTCCACCATTGTCACTACGGAGAACCTAAACATGTGCATTGTAACGAGTTACAACCATTTTATGAAACTTTTGAAACAATAAGTTCACTTCACTTTTGGATTTCATCAAGCACAACCAGGTCATCTTAGTACAGTCATCAATAAAAGTAACAAACCAACGCGATCCACCTAAAGTAGTAACTTTGGATGGATCTCAAACATCAGAATGTATAACCAAAAAAGGAAGTGGACTTTTATTCAAACATAATGGAAACGAAGTACGGTGGCTCTTTGCTAGTTCACAAACATCACAGCGTAAACTAGAACCATCAAAATTTTCAAATAAACTAGGAAATAATTTTTTAAGATAACCAAAGGAAGCATGCCCCAGACGTCGATACCACAGCCAGATTTCAAATTTTTTTTTCTCCTCCTCAGAACCATCTGCTTTCCATGCTTGTCGTAGCTTGTCAGAACTTTTTGACAGCAAGTCAAAGTAATACAGCTTCCCTCGCCTAATACCACAACCAATCTTCTGCTTTGTTTGGATGTCCTTAAACACACAAAAATCAGTCCAAAAAATTATAACACAAGATAAAGCTGTGGTTATTTGGGAAACTGACAAAAGATTATAAGATAAAGATGGAACAACTAAAATAGAATCTAAATTTAGATTATCAGTGAGTGTCAAAGATCCTTCGCCAATAACTTGGGTCAAAGTACCATTAGCAATAGAAACAAAATGTTGTGAGGAGGAATTAAGCGGGGAGACCTGTTTAGAATCAAATGTCATATGATCTGTAGCAACAGAATCAATTATCCATGCACTATTAATAATATGTGTAAAAATATTTAAACCTTACCACCATGATCTCCATTTACTACCAACCCCAAGGCCTTGTCAGCATTATCATCATCTGTCTTAACAACTGCTGCAGTGGAGGTCTTCGTTGAATTATTCTTCCAACGACTATGATCCCACCATTCCGGATATCCCACAAGTTCGAAACAACGACTTTTGGTATGACCAGTCTGATTGCAATTTGGTATAACCAGTCTGATTGCAATGGGTGCATTTGTAGGTAGACTTATCTTCACCGTTGGTGGCTTTAGATTTTTCGAGCCATCATGACTGAAGCGTCAGAGTTTTCAGATTCCCCGTTCAGAGTTGCACGACGTACCGCTTCTCGTCGAACCAAAGAGTAGCAGCCTTCCAAGTCTGGAATTGGATCGTTGCGTAGAATTTCTCCACGAACTTGTTCAAAATCACCATCTAGTCCGGTAAGAAAGATGTGAACCAGTAGTCACTCGATAGACTTCCGATATGCTTCAATGTCATCTGGATCTTTCATGACTATTTTATCTTCTCAGAAAACTTCAGTTAGCTCTCCACAATATTTAGATAGAGATTTGCCCTTTTATTTAGGGATGAAGGCCTTTTGGTTCAAGGCGAAAACTTGCAACTCATCATTCCCATCATAAAAAGCCTTTAATAGAGCATTCCAGATTTCGTAGGCAATGGGTAAGCGTAAATAACATTTCATAATTTCTGGAGTCATGGACATTAATAGCCACCGCTTCACTTTCTGATTTTCTGCATACCACTTGTCATAACCATCTTCTGATTCAGAAGGTGGCTTAGTCTTGCCACAAATATAGGAGAGTTTCCCCCTTTCAGCAATATACATCTCCATTAGTTGGGACCAAACATCATAATTGGATTCAGTAAGACTAATCCCTACATTAAAAACACCTTCAAATTGAACAAAAATAGGAACTGATTCGTCGCAGATGATTCACTATTTTTTTCACTCATTTTCTTTTCTTTTTTTTTCCTTCCTTTGTTTTTTTTCTCTCCTCTTTTTTTTTTTTTTTTTCTTTTATTTTTTTTTATTTTTTTTATAGATATATATATATATATATATATATATATATTAATAAAATAAATAAAAATAAAAAATATTCAACTTCTTTGTTAAGTTGCAACAGATAGACGCAAAAATAAAATAAAATAAAAATTCAAAGAACGGCCTTTATAGATGAGAGGGGCAGTGGCAGAGAATGGCCTGATCCGGCGACGTGACGGCGATGATGGAGTTACGACGCAATGTAGCGAGGCAGCAGTTTGATGTGATCCGGCGAGGCGATGCGATGAGGTGCAGCGGTTCGTTGCCGGTAAGAGCAGCAGATCCGGCGACGGCTGACAGTGAAGCAGATCCGGCTACAGCGATTTGGCAGTCGAGGTGCAGCGGTTCGTTGCCATTTGAAGAGTCGCCGGCAAGCAGCGGTTCACGGCAGTTCAGATCTGGCGATGGCAGATCGCCAGCAGCGGCAGGCAGCAGTTCCGTTGTAGGCAGCGGTTCGGTTCGGCAGCGTCGGCGTCGGTTGGAAAGCAGCGTCGGCGTCGTCGGTTGGAGACAGCGACGGCTATGGCGATTTGGTGGTTCTGAGATGGCCGCAGCGTCGTCGTCGGCGGTTGAACAGCGATGAAGGTCCGGCGATGGCTATGGTTTGTGATAGCAGTGGGTATGGGTCTGTGTCTGGATATGGTGAATGTATGGGTCTCTGTATGGGTATGTGGATGTGAATTTATGTGTATGTGTATGGGTCTGGTGTTGGAATGTATGGGTCTATGAATTTCAAAGATAAATTAAAAGAGATTTAAAGAATACAATTCAATGATGGCTCTGATACCATTTTCGAATTCACATAAAAAAAAATATGAGAATTAAAACTCAATTCAATATTATTCATAATAGTGTTACATTCAATTTGTAAAGTAATATTTAGTTAAAATATATAACTAAATATACAATAATCGAAAAATTAATTACCTACCAATCAGCCTAAATCAGGAAAAAAAATAATTCAAAATAATTCAATCATACAACTGTAGGATTTTAGTTACCTGCGATTAGTTCTGCCCGTTAGGCTTCTTTGACATAACTAAAAAGAAAACTCCATCCTTGCTGAAGAAAAAATAAATAAAAATAAATAAATAAATAAAATTAAATGAGGGATGGGTTACATCAGACATTGATGACGTTAAAGATTTGCACGTATATATATTTATATATTTCATACATACATATACATACATACATACATACATACATACATACACGTATATAAAGAAGGAAGGGCATGAACAGATAGCAAGCCGTTTTGTATACCTGAGACTTCTCCGACGTGTGTGCAGTTCTCTACCTCATCACCCATATATATATATATATATATAGATAAAGGTCTCCTAAAGAGATAGAATCCATCTAAAGATTTGCCACATTTCAAATAAATTCGGATAAATCAAGTTCCTATATCTTTGTTGAGGATTTGTTAGCGGTTGCTATATGTAAATCAACCAATTGGTTTGGAAGGATGATTTTGTATTCAAGTGATTGCATTCCAAATTTCATGTACACTTATTTTATTATTAAGTGTTTGAAAGAAGACAACTGTTGTCAAAAAAAAAAATAAATAAATAAAAATTAAAAAAAAATTATTTATAATCATTGTTTAACTAAACTATCCATGACATTACCAACTAATTCGGGCATGACAAAACCATGTACATTAGGGGTTATTAATTTGATTATTAAAAAAAATTAAAAATAAAAAATAAAAAATCTTCTTCAAGTCTAGCCCTCAGCACCTAGCAAGCGTGAGCAAATTTGAGACTTGAAGTGGGGGTATTTTTAGAGACTAAAAAATTCACATGGGTTTAACCTATAATTTGGGCTAATTATCAGTCTAGCACACTTTAAATTATGGGCCGGTTAACCAAACAACCTAAGCACACTACCAAATATAGGTCATGGATCAACCCAAACTACTCAATTGACCCAACCTACTTTAATGGGTCAATTTCAAATTGCTAACTAACCAGGCCCACTTGGAGATTAGGTTAGTTAAATAAAATTATAATTATTCTTAATATATATATATATATATATATATATATATATATATATATATTTGAGGATAAGATAATTATCCAAATTATAATTGTGATAATTATTCAAAGTCTTTCATTCAATCGTTTGAGATTAAGTTTTTACGACTCTCAAACGGAAATCAATCCAAGTTTCTTTCATTTTTTGAAAATTTGAAGAAAGTTCGTTGCAGCCGATTCAACATCAAATAGTAAAGCATTTGTACCGAAAATTTAGGAGATCGAATCAGAGGACATTCTTTCTTTGTAAAGAATATTATAAAGAATTGTACCCCTTTATCAAATATTAATAAAATTTATTATTTACTCCTTATTTTGTTCTTTATTTTACCGATACAAAATTTGTGTGTACATTTATTATATTATAGTAATATTTTTAGTTTATTACATAATACTGGGAGTAGAAATTCCAAAGAAATAGTTTTATGGTTTTAGATTTGGTATTTATAAAACAGTTTTACCACTTTCATTTATCATTTGCACTCGCGATGGTGTTTGTGGTCGTGATAATAGGAATTCTGATAAATATTAATATAAATTGACGGAATTAGATTTGGTATTTATAAAACAATTTTACCACTTTCTTTTATGTATAGAATTAAGATGAATACTAATGTAAATCCAAAGAATAAATCAATTCGCATGTAGGAATATTGACCAGTACTGCAAACTATGTGTTTCAACACTTTAAAATTTACTCCGTATAATTTATTGTAAGATAATGTAACTTCTAGGATTTTGTTCGATGATTATATCTATTGAGCCTACCCACCCCCCAAAAAAAAAAGAAAAAAAAAAAAGTCAGTTTTCTTTATCAGACGACACTTTAAGTGGATCTTGTGAGCTTCGCTGGTTGCAGCGGCGATATAATATATATATATATATATATATATATATATATAAATACGAGTATATATTTAGAGAGAGAGAGAGAGAGGAGAAGGGTGGGAGGGGGATGCATCATGGAGCGCAGTAGAAGAGGAAAAAGCCACTCATCCAATTTCTCATCACACAAATTCCAATCCAATCCCACAAAATCTGTCAGACCTTCAAACTCTGACCATCACTACAAAAACAAAACTACTCATCAACAAAAGCATCGACAAGAAGAAGATGATTATGATTCCTTCAACTCTCTTCCATCCCTTGTGGGAACTTGCCCTCATATGTGCCCAGGTAATCATTGATGCATATATATATATATATATATATATATGTATATATATAATCATTCATGTTGTTATGTATTCAATTATTTGGCCACGCAGCAGGAACTTTCTTCTACCTTTTCTTCTTAGTAGAATTTTCTCAGCAAACAAACAAAAGCTTTGTCTTTATTTCTTATAATTAAAAAAATTATATCCTGTGTTATGTGAGATGGTTTTAGATACCCTTTTTGTTATAACTGAAAATCTGTATTACGAGCAACTGAACTAATAGTTTTAATTAAAGTGTTCACATTTCTGTTGCTGTTCTTGCCATTTTCTGTGAATGCACATATTTTTCACTGCTGTTGTTAGTACCATTTTCTGTGATTGCTGCTATTTAGTTTAATTAATATCATATGGTGATTGAGATTGCTTCTTATCACTTTTGTAATGGCAAATTTATTGGATTATATAGAAATACATCCAAAACTGCTTTGGGGGTGTGTAAAACCGAATCGAGTGTGATTAGACTCGAATGTGATAAGAAAAACATATTGGTACCCATGCTTTTGGTTGTCTAGAAGTGTCCATGAAGGGCTATGGTATCAATTATGTTCAAATTTAATTTTGTCAAAATTTGAAGTTCGGAAAGTTCCACGAAACCTATAACAAAAGTGAATCACTTCCATTTAGTTGAACTTTAAAACTATATGTATTTAATTTTTTTCTTCCTAAACAAGCTTTTATTAATGAAAAAGCAGCTATACAAGAAAGAAAGAGGGCATCCCTTCAAAAAATATACAAAGGGATAGACCAATCCCATTTTCAAAAACCACCAATTTACACAATCAATCTGGCTACGACAGACATTAGAAATAAAAAAATACCACCTCCAGCTCTCATGCCGCTCAGAACACAAACCTTTGTTCACAAATAACTGGTCTTTACACTTCCATGGAACCAAAGCATAAACCAGGTGACAGGTACTACCTTTACTAGCAGGTGATTGATTCTGCCAAACCACTGGTTCCAACCTCCACCGACAAATCAAGATAAAGATATCATAACATTAAGTTCCATCCATGGGATATATTTTGAAGATCAGATAATTTGAGACTCCTCTAGTGCAACACCTCCCATATAACCAGTCTAGCCAAATGGTGAAAATTGCAAGGAGAAGGATCATGCAAGTTTTGATTTCTAGCTCTCCTGATAGTGTCCATAAAGAGGTTGTGAATATTTGCCTTTATGTGCCATTCCTCCGAGAGTCTTGTTTAAACTGGTTGATGAACCATTGGGATAATAGGCAAATGGAATTAAAATGTCCACATCTCCAATTTAAGACTTCAAAGATCCATTTCCACAAAGCTTGAGTGTACAATTATTAAAGAAAAAATGTTCAAGTGTTCAACAGAGTCCTCAGAATTCATACAGTTGGGGAAGATGGCAGTTAATGTAATACCTCTCTTTTGAAGGTTGAGCAAGGAAGGGACGTTTGTTCATAAAAAATAAAAAAATAAAAAAAAGAAAAAAGAAAAAAGGAGTGAAACTTGCTGCAGGTCTTCTTCCTCTGTTCCAGATCAATTTATACCAATTATTTTTCTCATTTGAATGTCTGTTCTTCTGCCAAACAGATTTCAAACTGAATTGCCCATGTTTCCATTTAACCTGATCATCCCTGAGTTAATTGGAATAAATTCAATTACTTTCCAAATGAAATCAACCTCAGAAGACATGTGACCAGGTCTGCACCAGTTTCCATTTTGAATCAAGGCACTCAACCCAGCAAATTTGGACAGATCCATTTTCCTGCAAATTCTATTACCAAAGGTTTGAAGTAAAGACTTCCCCTTCCACCAAGGATCAAGAAAAAGCCTCATGCTTTGACAATTTCCAACCTTAAACTGAGTCCCAGAGATAATAATTTGTCTTGCTTCAAGAAGATGATTCCAGAAAGACTAAAATTTTGATGCCTTCGTGCATCACCATATCGAAGGGAATGCAGCATAAAGGGCCAGAAACCATACTATCCATCTCCTTTCCTTTTTTACAAAATTCCCAGAACAGAACTCCTTTAGAAGCTAAATTAATTTCATTGAGCTTCCTAATGCCAATCCACTCCCCTTTAGGACAAGTAATAGATCTCCATTTCGGCAGGCGCAACTTCTTTGCTGATTCTCTACTGCACCAAACAAAAGACTTTAACATACTATCAATGGAAGAGCTAGTAATGGCAGGGATTTTACACCTTACACCAATAATAGAAGAAAGAGGAAATCACTGTTTTCACTAATTCTGCGCTCTCAGCCAAAGATAAAATCAATAGAAGTCTAACTATGACTTTTAGCAGCAATTTTATCCAACAAAGGTTTACAGTCAGCATGTTGTAAGTCTCTGTCCATCAAAGGAACGCCCAAGTAATTCATTGGAAGGGTTCCCAGTTTCATGTTCAGTAGCCTCAATAGATTTCTCTTCCTTCTTACTGTCTTGGAGAAAAAAAACATGACTTTTCTCTTAATTTACTGGCAAACCAGATAAATTCTGAAATTGCTGCAACAAAGAGGCAATACAATCAGCTGTACCCTGACTTGCTTTAGCCACCAAAATCAAATCATCAGCATAAAACGAGTGAGAAAAATCAAAATTGATTTTCGGGGTAGAATATCAGAGTTGATATCTCCACTCTATAGCTTCCTTTTGCACCACAGGTGAGAGCAATTTAGTGATTAAGGTAAACAACAGAGGTGAAAGGGGACACCCTTGTCTTAAGCCTTTTTTGAGGCTGAAAGAAACCAGCAGGGGAGCCATTTACAAGCATTGAGAACCAAGCTGATTGTAGACAATCTTTTATCCATCCAATCCATCTCTGACCAAAACCTTGAGCTTGTGATAAATTGAGTTAAAAAAACCAAGCTACTGAATCATAAGTCTTTTTCAAATCTATTTTCAGAACCATTGCTGATTCTACTCTTCTAGACTTGAATCCTCTAATTATATGAATATGCGTGTCTGGGACTCTGGGCGAGTGAATGTTTTCTTTAGCATCCAATTTTCAATAAATTAATGACTATCCACCATGCTACCTTAATTTGAAGAGGTTTTTCGAGAATCCCTGAATTTCTTCAAAAGTAGAATGAAATGCAATTAAAAATGAATTAAGGTACCTTAATTACTATTGCTTTGTTCATACTTAAAATGAAATGCAATTCAAAATTTTGCAATACATTTTTTTGTCTACTTTCTTTTATTGAATTGCTTTAACTCAGCCAGTCTTTCTACTTATTTTTGCATATATACACCAGTAGTTGTTGACATGCAAGGTTCATAACTATAGCACATTCCTTTTATTGAACACCTATTCTCTCTGTGTTATTCATTTCTAATATGTAGAAGAGGAAAGGGCACAACGTGAGCGGCTGCGAGACTTGGCTGTGTTCGAGAGGTTAAACGGAAATCTTGGGAAAACATCTTCAAGTCTTGCTGTCAAAAAGGTGATCTCTAGAAATCTGTTTATTAGTGTTACTTATATTCGAATGGACCTTCAGTTATGTAAACTATCTGACAAGAATTTTTGCATTCTACCATTTTGGTCATGTCAAATTGATGTGATAAAGATTGAGATATTATTTTGACTATGATGGATGATTCATTGAATTTACGGGAAAGAAAGGGAGGAAAATAAAGGGGCTTCTTTATTTTAATTTAGTTTACTTCAGTTCATTAAATTTAAGGGGCATTTTAGGAATTTCTTATAAGTCTAGAATTAGGTTGGGTTTGCAGATCTAGCTGTAATTGTTTTTATTCGAGGTATGGGTTTTAATTAGGGCTAAGAGATTTGCTAAATTAGGGTTACTTGAAGATGAAGTCATTAGTAATTTTGCTTTGTGCGAAAGTTACACAGGGCTTGTTTTGTGCAACTCTCTGACAGCAAAAGTCCTTCCCTCAGAAGGTCTTTGCATGAAGAATTTGTAAGGAACTCAGACCAAAAAAAAAAAAAAAAAGGTCTGCTGATTAGTGTTCTCAACTATATTGAACTAAACTAGTACAACACATGATTGCAGTGAACAAACTATTTGGCTAAAATCATGATTCACTTGATGTAGATGAGAAATGTTGAATATTATAGATGAAATAAGCAAAGGAATTTTGATAATCTGATTTTTTTCAATTGCAAAATGTAAAAGTTTGTTCACTGTCCAAAAACTCCAGATCTCAACAAAAATTAACCCAGCGAGCCAAAACAGTCGTTCCTTTTACAAAACACTTTAAACGGATTATATTACAACCAAATGTTTCAATTTTTTTATCATTACTATTTTTTTAATCTTTTGTGTGTGCGTGCGTGCGTGCGTGTGTGTGTGTGTCTATCTTTGCAACTCCAAATTTAACCCTTGTCCCAGCAAAACAAACGATCTTGTATCAGAATTCACCAACACCAACATGATAAATGACAATGGTGGAATTGTTCTCAATCAGCATTGGAATGAGCACATTTGGGCAAATCTGCGATCCTTCATGTGATGAGTAGAGCGGTACTCTAGCAAGGGAAAGTAGGACTGATAAATAGTAGATAGGAATCAGAGAAAGTTTGGCGAGCACAAGTTGGATAGGTTTTCAGGGTGATGGGTTCAGTGGTACTTTGGCTAGGTTAATCAGTATTGAGATGGACATCCAGGGAAATTTAACCAGTAGACAAGAGAGGAGATCCACATAATACTATCTCAACCCCTATCTGATTCCTCTTGTCAATAAATCAATAATCTTAGATCTCAGTCTCACCCAAATGAAATCCCAACTTTACATGACGATAAGGTTGATGAAGATAGAAATGTGTTATCTATAGAGAGAAAGTAGAAAGAGAGGGGGATTAGAGAAAGAGGGGAAATGAAACATAAGGCTCGATGATTCTTCGACCTTCTCCATGATTAAAAAGGAGACTGTCGGAGAAAGCATGTGCCTATAAATGCTTACTCATTAACCTTCATATCCTTAGTTTCCTATCTGCAGTTAATTAAGAATCTCGTTTTTTCTAAATAGGAGAAGCCACTGATGGAACATACAGATGGTATGGTATTTTTATTTTGGGCGTGAGTCATGAGATGGAGGAGAGTGAATGAGATCAGTGAAAATACGAGAAAGAAGAAGAAAATGACGAGTAGGAAGAGGACTAATTGTAATGTCACGGAAGATGGGTTCGGAGAAGCCTAATTGACTTTCCCTGAACTGGCTTCTTGAGAAGCCAGCTCCTCTGAATGTTCATTTGTTCGACATCACCAAACATTGATTATTGCTTTTTCTTTTTCTTTTTGATGGACTTTTTGGACTTAAAATTCCTTTTGGAGCCTCTCGAAAGCTCATCCAAACACTACTAAAGCTATATATACATATATATATATATTTATGTACATCATCCATAACAATAGTCATTGGGTATTTAAGATTTGAATTTAAGTGTTTTCTTTTTAGTATTCTTTTTTTTTTTTTTTTTTTTTTTTTCCCTTACAAATTTATTTTGACCCCAATAGCTTGTGGATAGAGCCATCTTGATGAAAATTGCAGAATTTTATTAATAGAATGATTTTTTATTTTCATTTTTTTTTTTTTGACCTTGATACAATTAAGTCCATTGCAATTCTTATAGACCAGGTTCTGTACTCTTTCTTACTTCATTTTGGTGCATCAGATAAATCAAATTCTTTTTAGGTATATCATTAACTTCTTCAATATGTTGACTAATCTGAAAAGTCAAGATCGTCGTTAGAGGAGGAATGTTTTGAACTGATTGAAGGCCTACATAAAGTTCTTAATGATCAGAATGATTTCTTGGGAAGGTTGAATATATGTTAAATATTATCTTTAAAGAAACAAGGTGATGAGGTCTTGGCAAATTTCATCATGTATACAAGGTGATGTTGAGGAAAGTGGGGTTGGGACTGATGCATTATTTAAGAAAAGTACAAAAAAACCATATGAACACCACCCTGAATCTAAAATTGTCAAAGTTACGGATGACCATAATTAAATTTTGTAACCCAAAACAAACTAATGATTTTATTAAATCTTTAGTTGTCCTGCACACCGATATTAACTTCTGAGAAAATGCAACTGTATGGATGAAATGATAAACTTTCCAGTATCATTGTTGTTGCTTCCTATTTTATTTTGGCGAAATCAAATTGCTCACTAATTCCTACTACTCCAATGATGCAAAATCAGGAATTTAGAATTGTTGCACTCCATCAATACAAAATTCAAGGTTGAGTTTTTTTTTTTTTTTTTTTTCCAATAATAGAAAATTGATGTGATCGAGATCGATATTGAGATATTGCTTTGGGTGCAGGGATGATCAATGGGGTTTATAATAAATAAATAAATAATGTGGATCTTTTATTATTATTATTATTATTATTATTATTATTTTAATCAAGTCTATGGGGGTATTTTGGGAAGTTCCCGTAAGTCTAATAATGAGTCAAGTCTATGGGTCTAGTTTTAGTGAGTTATATTTGATTTGGTTTAGTTATTTGCAGGTTTTAAGTAAGGTCAAAGTAGTTAGTACTTTAGCATTATTTTAAACTGAAGTCACTTATGATGAAGCTATTAGTAATTAGAACTAGGAAAAAAAAAGTTTTTAGTTATTAGGAAAGTAGCTTGGTACAAAGTTACTAAAAAATTTTAAAACATTTTTGTCTGCTGTAGTGGAAATATTCGTGGATATTTTTGGATCCACATGATTCTGATGAAACTTTTTTTTTTAAAATCATTTTCTTTCCTCTTGTTATGACTTGATTTTAGACCCCATAACTCCTGGAATTTGGACCATTTTGCTGCTAATAACATAAATCTGCTAAGTTTCTTGTTAGGATTTGATTTTAGAAATTTCCTTGTAATTAGCTGGAAAGGTATATTTCAGTAATCTACACTTATTACAAAGTTTGAAATTTAAGACAAAAGAGACTTCTATTTGGCTTGTTTCCATTTAAGTGTCCCTCCCTTCTTTTGAGAACTTCTATTGTATAATTTCGGATCTAATTTACCAAATGTTGTACTTCCATGATGGATAACAAGGCTGAATTTTCTAGTTCCCTTTTTAGTCATATATTTATATAATTATTTGATATTTAAAATGCTATGCATTGTTTACATTTGATGCAGAATATGGTTCACTTTCCATATCTCTTACTAGTTTTGCAGAACTATATCCACAAAGCACTTGCAAGCTTCAGATGTACGACCTCTCCCAGTGTTGGAGGACACTTTAAACTACCTTTTAAACTTGGTAGATTCCTCAGAATTTCCTTTCGAAGTGGTTCATGAGTTTGTCTTTGATAGGACGAGGTCTATAAGGCAAGATCTTAGCATGCAAAATATCATTGATGATCAAGCAATCCACATGTATGAGAAAATGGTATGATTCTCATCTATTCATCTTATCATTAATGTTATCTATTTACTATTATTATTTTGGGGAAAATTTTAATAATCTCCTGCACTTTAATAAACTCATTAATGTTAGCTTTACAAGAGGCTTTGTATAATCTTGGGATTGATAGGGAAGACGAAGTAGAAGCTAACTTTTCGTAGTGTTATGTGCTATTTTTGGCAAAGGAAGACAAGGGTTTTTGAAGATAAGGAGACCCTGCAGAAGATCTTCTGAATAACATTATTAACAAGGTGGCTTTCTTGAGTTCTTTCTTCTCAAAGGAGGTCATGTCATATATTTTCCGCAGGAATTGACCCGTCATTCAGTCTAATGTTGCTTAGAAGCTTTCATTTGGCGGACTTTGTTGGGCTTTCTTGGCCTTCTAATGTACATATTATACATTTTGACTATTAAAATGTTATTTTTATTTCTGTAAATTAGAAAAAATGCAGGAAAACTAAATTGCATTTACCAATCTTGTTTTAGCTAAACTGGAGGACACAAGTTTACTTTGTCATTTGTGATGCAATGACTTACCGTACTATGTCAGCATATACATTTTTTAAGAACTTATGAAGCAGTAATGGAAGATTGAACCTTTTCTTGTGTTCTTTTTCTTTACCGTACTATGTCAACATATTCATTTTTTAAGAACTTGTGAAGCAGTAAAGGAAGATTGAACCTTTTCTTGTATTCTTTTTCTTGGTGAGGCTGTGATATTAGTTGTGAATTGCTGTAAAAACACCCCACTGCAGGTGAACAGAAGGCCCCATCTCTGTTTTGTGTTGTCTCAATGAACATTCATGAATGAATAAACTATATAGCATAATATGTGAAACTCCATGGTGTTCTTTTATTTCCTCTTTTTTCTTTTCAAGAATTAAAGGTGTTCAAGCCAAGAGAAGCGGCCTTTTTGTTGGGTGCTTCTGACATGCACATATAGAGGATTCTGATATATTTTATCTTTATAGGTTAAATTTCATGTCATATCCCACCACAAGCTTCGAAGATGTAGTGGCAGTTCAAACATTTCTCCAATGCACCACCTCAACATGGAGCAGCTGACAAAGGCTCTGACATCTCTATATGATCTGTATGAAGCTAATTGGAGTTCCCATTCCATTTATAAAAATGAAGCTGAATTCCGTTCACTTTATGTGCTTCTCCATCTGGGTTCAGACAGCCAACCAATGGTTTCTTCTTTAGATTCATTGCTTAGCTTATAATTTAGCTTGTTCATTTTTACTTGGAGCGTTTTATGAGGTCTTAAATTCACTCGTAACTATTCCTCACCCACAGGGCGAGTCCCTCTCTTTGTGGTTTCGTCGCGTTCCTTCTCGTATTATCAAGTCGAAGGAAATGAGTTTTGCCCGGAGACTTTTAAGGTAATATCGAAAATCATTGGAGAATTCTGCTTCCTTTTATTTATTTCTTTTTTTGGGATAGATGATATTTGCTGCTTTTGTAACTGGTTTTCTTATCTGTTTCCATTGAAGCAACGAATTAAAGGGTTTCATTATATCTTTTTGTGTTCAGTGCTAAATTCGACATTAGTTGAACTGAAAGATTGGTATTTTATGTTATTTATATGTTCTTGTAACAGATACTTTCGGTTGGGCAATTACAAGCGTTTCATTTGTACTACAGTAGCTGAGGCATCCTGTCTGCAATATTGCATAATTGAACATTACATCAATGAGGTTGTTTTCAATTATCAGTGTAAATATTTTTCTGTTTTTTCTATGTTCACCTCCCGTTGCTGGTTTCATCATCAACGATCTTATCCAAAATGCCTTAGTTAGTTGGGTTTTTGTTCTGGTGGAACTTTGAAGTACATGATTTATTTCAATTATACTCTATAGATTTTATTTCTGTCTTTTTCCTTGTTTCTTTTTTCTTTGGTTGGATGAACAGTAAACGAACAATTAAGTTTTGGATTATTGAATTATATTCGTGAGTTTGCAAACTCCCTTTATGTCTCTTCTACCTCGGGTTCTTTCTTTTCTCAATAGTCTTCCCGGCCTACCCCTTCATTCTATTTTCTCATCCCCTTCTTCTGTCTTCTCACCTCTTTTGTCTAGTCTTTGTTAATGGTATTTAGAACCATCATTGACTGTATTCTTTTTTCAGGTAAGAAAACACACGCGCACACACAGTTGTCCAAAGGGACTTGAACCCTCATCCTTCCATGGGAGAGGAGGAGAAGATGCCACATGAACTAAAGCCCCCCCCTTTTTTTTTCGCCACATGAACTAGAGCCTTGGTGCACCATTTTCTAGCCTCTGTTTCTGGCATTATAGGACTATTTCTCTGAGATTAGTATAAAGTAAATGTGCTCAGAACTTTACTATCCTAAGGTAGTAAGCAATTTCTTTCCATATTTGTTGCTTATTATTGAGGCAACTTGTAATGGATATATGATTTCCTTTGATGTTATTGTTGAATGTCAGTTTCAATTTTATTCCTTTTCTTTTATTTTCTTTTTTAAACTGATATGGTACTTTGTTGACTATATTAAAGGTTCGAGGGTTTGCAGTTTCCTTTGTGAATCATGGAGGTTACAAGCTTCATCCATATCCACTTTCAGACCTATCCAAACTTCTGATGATAAAGGTAAGATTTCCATCAACTGGCATTGATCCATTACTATCTATTGTACAAATTCAATTTACTTTTATTTTTGAAACTCACGTTTGACTGCGTGGTCCTTCAGGAATCAGATGTGGAGTCTTTCTGCAATGATTGTGGTCTCGAGATTTCCACAGATGAACTAGGAAATAAGTTCTTACCTGCGAAGCAAACAACCTTTTGTCGTCCCAAAGGAGGGTTTCAAAACTACTGCCTTTTGAGTTCGGAGCAGTTTGAAAGGTAACTTTTAAACACAAGATCACCTTTTTCCTTTTGGTTTTTATGGGGGTCCTTTTAAAACATCAAGCTCATATGAAAAGGCAATCATGCAAATTAACTATGTCTCTGAACCTTAGACTTGCTGTAAAACACAACAATGGTGATAGTAACAACCTAGAATTCTGTTAGACATGCCTGCTGCTATTCTCAGAGCCTGTATCACCCACAATATCAGAGCCTGTATCCAACTTTGTGGTACCATTTTTGTCTTTTGATTGCTGCCAATATTTTAATCAAATAATTTTTAAATAAGTTGAGAGTTGAAAGGACCATTTCAACCCAATTGTTTATCCCTGTTAAGCCAACAAAGCGACAGTTTATTCTCACAGCACATTGCGGTAATTCGACCAAATCTTAGGGGGATCAATGTAATTTGCCCTTAAAAAATAAATTTGTTTGAATAATGTTTCTATGCTTTTTTCTCTTACAGAATAATTATGGTTTATTTTATATTTTTTCCTATTTGATACTCACACACCCCCCTCCAAGGAATTGTTTGCACTTAGGAGGAGTCGAACCCTAGAGCTGATGCTTCATGAGGCACTAGGGCCAAGTGACTTACCCACTTGAGCCAACCACTTGGGGTTGGGGGAAAAAAATGATTTAATATTGTAAATTCAATAATTTAGTACATAAAATACATTTGGTTAGCTCACCAAAATAAATAAATAAATCCTTATTTGTTTCAGCAAATTGAAATTTTCTGGAGGGTGGAACACTGATTTTATATTAGGATGCGTTGTGCACATATATCAACTGAATTGCTGCTTTTTTTTTTTTTTTTTTTTGACACAAATAAAAGTATATTAGAGAGCATTCAAAAGGAGAACGCATCCTGGAAGCTATACAAAGGCCGGAGCCAAACCCAAAAAATCCATGATTTCATCTAAAGATATACAATTTCTCCCCATCCAACAACTAAAAAGAGAACTAATAATAGAAAATTTCAGCGCTCCAATGGAAGATTCCTCCCCATCAAAATATCTTCTATTCTGCCCCTTATCAACTGAATTGATGCTTTATTTGCAATACAGTGATATTCCCTTTCACTCTCTGCCAAGATAATTGATATTCTCAACTACTGAACTATATCCTGTAAAGTAATGTGAGGACTATTCTTACGATGGATAGCAGGTTTCATAGTTGAAATTATCAGAAATATTGGAATTAGAACCACAAGAGTAAGAATTGCCTTTCAATTATTCAAAATGTTCGGAACAAATAGATTCAGCAAAGAAATAAAATCAACTTCCATGTACATTACATGTATGTATATCGACATGTATAAATATGAAGAAAACTGCTGTAGATTGATCTATTTATCTTGTTTTCTTTTCTTAATATGGATCGCTAAGGATAAAGTTATATACTGAGAAGGGCAGATTTCAGCTCATTGTTTAAAGCATGGCAAGCTTTATCTTGTGCTTAGAAAATGCAGGACACATGTAATCTGATTATGGCTAATAAATTTCCGTAGGAGTGCTGAATATGCTGTTTGAGTAATCTAACGGCTAATTAAATTTACTGTGTTAATGCTGTTTCAGACTCTTTGCCGAAGGTTCAGAGTTCCAATAATGTAGGCATGACAGATGCTGTCCTTCTGTTATTAAAGGGATGTGGAAGGTAAGCCTTGGGCAGCACTACTTTGTTACCCGTTTGATGAACTGAAGAAAGATTTCTGCCGGGAAACAAACCATTTGAGGTAACCTGAAGGCCTGCTGCTGGCTCTTAAAATTCCGAAGGAGTTGAGAAAAAAGAAAGGTTGCTTGTTTCACCACTCTCAGCAGTCATGATTTGAATCATAGAGATATGGACTTATTTTTTAAGGATAGGTTATGCATACCTCTCCTCCCTGCCATTTCTGCAGGAGAGTAAGTGGTGACTAGGAGGCAACCGCTGCAGTATTGGGACCCTACCCTCGAAGGGCCGGGCACCATCCTACTTACAGCTCTATCTCACTATGGAGGGGCCGGGCACCATCCTACTTACAGTTCTATCTCACTATGGACTGGTGTATTGTAAGTTGTAACTTATAAGAAATGTATGTAAATATGATTGGGATGATCACTGATGATGTCTGTTTTTACCCTGAGGGCAAGTCTCTTATGCTGTGGTTTGTCTAATATTTTGATATTAATTTTAATATTAACATTTTTCACCCAAAGGAGGAAAAATTTATATATATATATACACACACACACAAATATTATTGATGCATTTAGTCAAGGTTATAGTTTCAGATGTATGTGAGTAATTAATTCAGTCAGATAGAGTAAACTCTAATTAGAGATGCCGGGAAACCAAAAAAAAAAAAAAAACTCTAATTAGAGATGGAAATTTGATATGACCCAACACATTTCTGATATGGAAAATGATAAGTAGTCCAATTCTCGGACTACCCCTTCTATTTTATGCGAGTGTGATGATGTCATCGGACTTAGCCACCGGTGAATTTTATGTGTCAATTTTTTCTTTTCTTTATTATATTTATATAATTACTGAATAGTTACTCAAAAGTCTGGCTGTTCTATTTTCCTATTTTTGAATTGTGGATCCCTTCAAATCTGGTCTGGTTGGTACAGTGACGAAAAATTGGGAGGGAAAGAGATATGGAGATGGAATGCTGAAATGATCTTTTTCCTCTTATTTGGTTAACTGAGACACGAGGGGTGTAAGGGAAGAATTTCTTTGTGATTTTACTGGTATGCCCTTAATCATTTTTATATGAAATGATATAGTTTGAACGACAAAAGTACCAAAAAAAAAAAAAAAAAAAAAAAAAGGGGTAATCACCTTCCTTTACTTTTGTCCCTCCTTGACAATTGTAATCATATCCAGTCCCAGTTTTCTTGTAATTCCCTTCCTTTCTATCTTTTCCTTGCTACCAAGTCAAGGATAGCCAAGTCATTAGTTGTAAGGGCTGGTTGCTTTGCAATTTGACCCAAAAGGTTAACACATAATTTATATATACACAGTTCACTTTCTATTCGAATTCAGCGTGGGACAAGACTCACCTTGTAACATTCTCTTTCATCTGAACTCGCAACGCTTTCGTTGCGGTTGGACTACCCTACTTATCCGAGGTAGCGCACCCAAACAGATCCAGACTGGGCTCTTAGCGTGGTACCAGATCAAAGATTGAGTCTAAATTTGTACCAATTGTAACGGATCAGATGCTTCGCAATCCAACCCAAAAACTTAAACTATAGGTAGGGCTAATACCCAATTCATTTACTTCTCATCCTGATCTGATGTGAAACAAGACTATCCTTTTAACATTAGTTATGTTGTTACAACTTATCATTTCTCAAAAGGGAGACGAGGGCTTGTTATTTATAGATGGGTGTGAATATTTATCAAACCAAAAGAAAATAAAAATAAATGATAAATAGTTGTTTTTTCAAAAAAAATAAAAAAATTCTTTATTATTATTATTATTATTTTATTTTTTTGTACATAATGCATTGCTTTTCAACTGTCTTCCACGTGAGGAACCAACGCTTTCATGTTCGGATCTGCAAATGTTGAATATTAATTTGTAACTGTTCAACATCGATAGGTCTTCAATTAATCAGTTTGCAATTTCAAGTGGTGGTGCAGGAAAGTTTGAGACTCCGAGCTTTTCAAGTGAAAAAAAAAAAAAAAAAAAAAAAAAAAAAAAAAATTAAAAATAAATAAATAAATTTATATATTCAGAGTTGAGGAGAGATAGAAAATTACCAAGCTCCATTAACACCATCAAACGAAGAACACGCGAAAGGTCAACACAATTTGCCCAACAATAATGGGAGGACTACCATTTTAGGAGCAACTGTTATGATTGTAGTGAAGCCATTACATGAGGGTTGATGAAAGTATCAATGTGTGTGTGTATATTGTTCAGATTCATGAGAGATAGAGAGAGAGAGAGAGAAATGTATATTGTGTGTATATTATTCAGCCCTCTCAATGAGGCTTATACAAAGAACAAGGGTTGTACACCCTAATTACGCAATATTGCTTAATTATACAATAAGCCTAACTGTTATGGGTAATTACATAATGACCCCAACATTATGGAGGATATAAACATTCTAACACTCCTCCTCAAGCTGGAGAATATATATCAAATAATCCCAACTTGGAATAGATAGTCCTTAATCGGTTATGACCAAGTGCTTTGGTAAACATATCAGCTAGTTGATCTTCAGACTTCACAAATGGAGTAGAGATACTCCCACTTAATAGTTTTTTCCGAACAAAGTGACAATCAACCTCAATATGTTTGGTCCTCTCATGAAACACAGGATTCGATGCAATGTGAACGACTGCTTGGTTATCACAGAACAATGGAGTAGGAGCTTCAACTATCAACCCAAGTTCTTTTAGAAAATGTTGTATCCATGTCAACTCACTAGTGATATGAGCCATTGTCCTGTACTCAGCTTCAGCACTAGAACGAGCTACCACCGTTTGCTTTTTACTTTTCTACGCAACAAGATTTCCTCCTACAAATGTACAGTAACCAGTAGAAAATCTCCTATCTGAAGGAGAACCAGCCCAGTCAACATCTGTAAAACCTTCCACCCTGAGATGACCATTTGATTTGTATAGTAACCCAAAACCTGGAGCTTGCTTGAGATATCGGATAATCCGAAGAACAACAATCCAATGTGGCATTCTAGGAGCTCCCATGAACTGACTTATAACACTAACTGCATATGAAATATCAGGTCGAGTGATAATGATATAAATTAATTTCCCAATAAGGCGACGAAATCTGCCCGGGTCATTAAATAGATTACCCTCATCAGACACAAGATTTATATTTGAATCCATAGGAGCATCAATCGGACGACCACCTAACATACCCGTTTCTTCTAGCAAGTCCAACACATATATTCATTGAGATAAAGTTATACCTTTCTTGGATTTAGCAACTTTAATACCTAAGAAGTACCTAAGTTTACTCAAGTCTTTAGTGTGGAATCGATTTTGCAGAAACAACTTCAACTTAGCAATGCCAGCAAAATCATCACCTGTGATCACAATATCATCTATATACACCACAAGAAAAATGAAGCCAGCTTTAGTGCGCAGGTGAAATACCGAATGATCGGTCTGGCATCTGTTAAGACCAAATTCTAATGCCGCCTTAGAGAATTTTCCAAACCAAGCCCGTGGAGATTGTTTCAGTCCATACAAGGCCTTCTTAAGGCAACAAACAGTGTGACGAGCAACAAACCCAGGTGGTTGCTCTATATAAACTTCTTCAACCAGGTCACCATGTAAGAAGGCATTTTTGACATCCAATTGAAACAATGGCCAGTTAAAATTGGTAGCAATGAAAATAAGAACCCGAATAGAAGAAATCTTAGCAACCGGTGAAAAAGTCTCATCATAATCAATACCATAAGTCTAAGTGTACCCCTTTGCCACTAGACGAGCCTTCAACCGCTCAATAGACCCATCATGAAAGTATTTAACTGTGTAAACCCACTTACAACCAACCATTTTGGAGCCCAAAGGTAAGGGAACAAGATCTCATGTTCCATTACGGTGAAGGGCATCCATTTCATCCACCATGGCTTGTCGCCAACCCAAATCAGAGAGAGCACCCTGCAAAGTCTTGGGAACAAAAGGCGCAGATACTTTGGATAAAAAACAAGAAAAAGAGGATGAAATATGACGGTAGGAGACAAAGTTAGAAATGGGATATGCAGTAACACACGACCGAATACCTTTACGGAGAGCAATAGGCAAATCATCAGGTAAAGGTGTCGGATCCGAAGACTCTGAAGGAGATAGAGGAAGCGAAGTAGGCGATCGTGGTCGTTGAGTATAAACTTGCAATGGGACAGCAGAGCGAGGAGGTGCGGAAGCAAGAAACTAAGATGGAATCGTTGGCATAGGTGGCTCAGAAGTAATATCGAGAGGAGTAGTAGAATCAGAAAAATATGGGAGAAACTCAGAAAATGTTACATCAGTACTAGTGAAATAGCGTTGAAAATGAGGACTGTAACAACGATAGCCCTTCTGAGTGCGAGAATACCCAGGAAAAACACACTTAGTAGCACGAGGGTCGAGTTTATCAAGACCGGGTCCAAGGTTATGGACATAACACACACAGCCAAAGACTCGCGGAGTCAAATTAAACGATACGGAGTCGGGAAATAGAACAGAATGAGGAGATTTACCTTTTAACACTGATGAGGGAATCCGATTAATAAGATGACATGCCGTAAGAACGGCATCACTCCAAAATCGTTTGGGAACATGTATATGAAATAAAAGGGCACGACAGACTTCCAGAAGATGACGATTTTTACGTTCAGCTACTCCATTTTGTAGCGGAGTACAAGTACAAGAGGATTGATGAATGATGCCTTTAGCATGAAAATAAGTCTCAAATGGGTCCGAAAAATATTCTTTGGCATTGTCAGAACGTAAAACTTTAATGGAACACCCAAATTGAGTTTTTATTTCTTTGCGAAATATTTTGAAAATAGAAAACAACTCATTTTTCATTAAAAACAACCAAGTCATCCGAGAATGATCATCCACAAAGGTCACAAAATAACGAAATCCATTAATAGAAATATGTTTTATTGGTCCCCATACATCTGAATGAACTAATTGAAAAGGACTAGCAACACAATTATTAACCCTTGTTTTGAAAGATACATGACAATGCTTACTAAGCTGACATGTTTCACAAGACACGGACTCAACACGACTAAGACCGGGGACTTGACGCTGCAGAATTGATAGTGATGGGTGGCCGAGACGACAGTGCCACTGGAAAGAAAACAAAGATGATTGAAGAGCCGTGGGAGATAGTGCAGGATCGAAGTAATACAAGCCACCTACTTCATGTCCCGTACCAATCCTCTTCTTCGTCTTGAGATCCTGAAAAAGACAACATGTGGGATAAAATGTAACAGAATAGTGAAGAGATTTAGTAATTTTGCTAATGGACAACAAATTAAAAGGGAATTGAGGAACATATAACACAGCGGAAAGGGACATAGAAGAGGTAAGATGAATAGTTCCCAAACCCAGGGACGGAGCCAATGAAGGCCTAGGGGGGCACGTGCCCCCCTGAGTTGGCTAGCAACCTATAATATGTGGTAATTTTTTAAAAAAATTCCATATATATGAAAAAATTTATATAGTGCCCCCCCCCCCCTCCCCCAAAAATTTGTAGTTCCTAAAATTATATTCGTATTTTTTCTTTATTTTTTCTTTTACTTTTCACATTCCTTAAATTTCTTTAGTAGAAAAAGTCAAATTTCTCTTCCTCAATTGAAACTTTTTAACTATTTCCTATTAAAGTTCTTTCATTTTTCTTTCCTTTTATATTTTAACAATTTTCTTCTTCTTTGTCTTTTTGAATTTTATAGTTGTTATATATATATATATATATACTCCGTATTATTTTTTTTTTTGGCAGTGTGCCCCCCCCTCACTTGAAATCCTGGCTCCGTCACTGCCCAAACCCAAAACTTTAGTTGATGATCTATTAGCAAGAGTAACACTTTAAGAGGAAGGAACAGACTGAAAATCATATAAGAGATGAGAACTACCAGTCATGTGATCGGATGCACCAGAGTCAAGAATATAGGGACTTTGACTAGAGGACAAAAGACATGCAGGGGCACTACCTGATTGGCCAAGGACCCATAGAAGATGAGATGAGGTGGAAGGCCGTTGTTAAGACAGAAACTGAGCATACTCATCGCGGGGAATCGTAACCATAGCATTCTCAAAAGCCACATGTGGAGCAGTGGGTGTGGCAGAGAGAAAAGAATCCCCATCATTAGAAGTCACTTGATGTGCATAGGAAGAAGGTGGTGGTTTCCCATGAAGATCCCAACAGTAATTGATAGTGTGATTAGTAAGACCGCAGTGAGTGCAAAGTTTTAAGTCTCGGCCTCTACCTCGACCACGGCCACGGCCACGAGTAAAACGACCACCACCACCACGAGAAGACTGAAAGCCACCCTGGTTCACAACTAAGGCAGAACGTTCACTGCTAGGAGGAGCAGTGACACCACTGGAAGCACCTCCTGAAGAGCCACTAGATAAAGTGGCACGCTGGAGTCTAGATAACATATCAGGTAGAGAGGGAAGTGCAGGACTCCCCAAAATCTGTGCACGAACAGGTTCAAACTCTTGTGACAATCCTGTGAGAACCCGAACAACATTAAAATCCTCACGTTGCTGCTGCATGCTTTTCACATCAGAGGTGATAGGTTGATATATATTCATTTCTTCACAAAGTCTCATTGCTCGTGAGAGGTATTCTTCTAAACTTTGAGTCCTTTGCTGGAGGTCAAAAAATTGTCTACACACCTCATAAATTCTGGTTATATTACCAGCACCGGAATATAACTGTTGGAGTCGGGTCCATATCTCCTTGGCAGTGTCCAGATATAACAAGTTGGAGCTAATATGAGGTTCAATACAATTCAGCATTAAGGAGATGATTTGAGCATTCATTTGTTCCTATGAACTGAAATTAGCATCAGTGCTTTTGAGTTTATCCTCAACCAAATGAGCATCAAAGCCTTTGGCTTTCAGGAAAATGGCCACTGACTTGGCCCATAAAATGTAATTTTTGCCATTAAGCTTGACTGAAGTCATAGGAGGATTGAAGGAGCTAGAAGATAATAGGTCTGAACTAGAAGCCATGGAGAAGGTAAAAAAAAACAAACAAACCTGGGGGGAAAAAAAAATGCAGAATCGACAACCGGGTCAGATCTGGACAACCGGGTTGGATCAAAACCAAGTCTCTGCTATCCCGGTTTTAGTAAACCAGGGTTGGAATAGCATAGCCGTGTAGCCAAACAAGGCTGTTCTTCTTTACAACCACCAACAGACTCTGGCAAGCACATATCGGCAACACCACACCGAACCTCCCCAACTTCCGACCAAGAAAAAAGACGAATCTATAAAGCCTCACCTTTGCAAACAACGACGGTGGATGTTGGCGAGCTTGCTGACGATCAATGCGGCAACAACACAAGCGGCCAAGGGGCTTCAGATCTGACGTCGACGAAGGACGATGACGACTACGAGTGTTGTTCTCAACCTACCGACAACAAGAACTTCCGGCAAAGACACCAACAACACACTCACGATTCCAATCGCAAGTCCAATCTCATACAAGGGCAACACACTTGTCGTTTCCCACACCCATGAATCTATATTGCTTTGATACCATGTTCAGATTCATGAGAGATATAGAGAGAGAGAGAGAGAGAGAGAGAGAAATGTATATTCTGTGTATATTATTCAGCCCTCTCAATGAGGCTTATATAAAGAACAAAGGTTATACACTCTAATTACACAATATTGCTTAATTACACAATAAACTTAACTACTATGGGTAATTACATAATAACCCAACATTATGGACGATATAAACATTCTAACATATATATATATTTTGACCTGGCAAGGAGAGTTGGTAGTTAGTGAAGATAAGGGAAGGGAATTCGAACCTAAGAACATAGGATGGAGGCACTTAAGACCTGCCATTTACAACTCGGACAACACCGTTACACCTGTGAGAGTATTAAATAAGCATAGATTTGCAATTGCCAGAAGAAAAAAACTAACACTTAAAATACATATTAGCTATCATTAGACTGTGGAAGGACAGACAATTAATGTTAAATATATACATACATTTTGCATTATATTCATAATAGTATCTAACAGTGTGTTATAAAAACAATAGTGCTAAGAAAAGCAAAATGGAATTATCTCACAATCATGTGGTCTCCAACCAACAAATTCTCAGATTCATTTCATATATATGAGTAACATCAGTATCGAAACTAATTCTCCTCTCTTATGTTTTATACAATAAACAAACAAAGCCTTTCTACAACTACTAGGGTCGGCTGTATGAATCCAATTCTTCTGTTCCGCTCTATCTAAGGCCATAGCATCGGCCACACCACGTGTTATCATATCATTCTTTACCAACTCTACCCATGTTCGAAAAATGCGGAAACCCTTGCCTACTTTTTACCACATCCGAGCACTGATACAGTGCCCCTTGCTCTTTTTCTCTTATGTTTTATATAAGAGACAATTGTAGAACAAAAGGAACTGCAATATTCAGAAAACTCATAACATGTGGAGAGCCAATTAACAATTCAAGGCATGAAAACGGTTATTATTTCGAGAGAAAAAATAAATAAATAAAAACGGAAATATCACAAGAGAAGCCTCTTCCACCACCTAGCAAAGTGAGGAACAAACAGAAATAGCTTTATGCCCACAGCAATGTCACAACCAAAAACAACATGATAGCCACCCCAAAACAAAATCCAACCACCACCATAAAAGCCTGCAAGCATGTCAAAGGAACAACTTACTTATAATTAGAGAATTACGAGATTTAAAAAAACAAATTCTTTAATGTGCACACACCTTCCCCTGTGATTGGAAGTTAAATTTGACAGCAAACCATGACAATCCTCTGTCCACAAAAGGTGCAAGTGCTAGAGCCCTACATGCAATTCAGAAGTTGGACCTCATAAATTTCAGATATACACGTCAAGACTCGAAGGAGAATCTCATTCAGCGGGGATGATTATCAAGGAATTTTCATGAAATAATATCATAATCTAAGCATATACATAGTAAATAATACACAAACCCTTCAGAATTAAGAAAACAAAAAACATTGACACGATCACTCACTCCAAAATTCTCTCAACGATATGATAGTTGTTTTCAAACTTTTGGTCATTCACCAATAATATCTGGAATATAATAACGAAAGCACAAGAAGTTGTTCTGTCCATACTCTCACAGTTTTGAAAACAGCAATCACTGCCAAGATTGAAGAGAGAGATATTGATTGAAACCCCTTCAGTTGGTCAAGCAGAGTAAGACATGTCAACAGCAGTAGGCGTGAGTCACCTTTGTGTATGGTTTCTTATTTATTTTCTTTTTCTTTTTAATTCTTTCTATTTTTTCCCTTTTTTCTTTGCGCGGTGGAGAAGAGCAGCTGTTATAGTCTTCTTCAAGACTCAACTCAATGTCAGCAATTACCTAAACGTTCCCTAGCAGAATGAATTTTAATGGTAGAAGTTGTAAAGTGCGAACTGAAAAATAATGTATTTATAAGTAAAACGAAGCATGTTGGGTTTGCTAAATTAAGTGAATCATGACACCAAAATGTGTTCGCACGCACGTGTGTGTGTGTGTGAGAGAGAGAGAGAGAGAGAGAGAGAGATTTAGTGAATAAGAGTGTATGTACCCCTACAAGATACTAAAATTAATAAGGCAAAATAGAGTTAGCAACTTACCCGCCAGCTCTAGCAAGCTTAGTAACTTGGCTTCCAGCCCACACCATAGCCATTATTTTGAGAAATCTGAAAAGCACTTGAAATTTGATATAGTTCACACAATCAGAAACACTTAAATATGATTTGTTACCTTTCCACCGCTGCAAAATAACCCATTTTTCCTGGTGCTGGAGCAACATAAAACCTAGAATGCAAGTGAAGCTAGTTACAATCCTAGTAAAGATGGCTATTTAATATAAGCAAACAACACATATAAGGAAAGTTGTAGAATGTAAGTTAAAAGTGAGACAATATTTGATTATTTATTATTAAACAAACTAATTCCTCCAGATGCTATTGTTGCTCTGTAACTACTGAACTTTTATGTCTACTCGATTTAGATTTGACCACAAAATTTGCATGTCAAGCAATTCTCTACCACTTTATCTAGAGCAGCACTGTAGTAACTCTGAAATAAGGGGTGTGGGATGTTGCACTCAAATATTGGTTTCAAATCCAACAAATTCTGCTAATGTGACCTGGAGAATCAAAATATAAATAAATAAATAATTTAAGACTTTATTTCACAGGTGACATCTATCAGAAATTTGGAACTAGTCCTTTATGTTACATTTAGACATGTCTATCAAACGCGAAATAATTTGGAGCCTAATTATGAAATCTGCATCTCCTAACACAATGATTTCACAGTTCCTCTGCAAAGTCGCACACTCGAGATATATTGTGACGAACAGACACAATCAGTAAGAGAATAGTATAACTTAGAACTACCAAAAAAACATACGTAGTACCAGAGCAGATAGCAGCCAAGGACCAATCATCAAGTGTAAGCACTACCAATGGGTTATAATGTTGTGCAAATTTTTAAGTTCTGCTGCTTTCCCAAAACAATAATTAACTCAAATGGACATATTTTCACTCACCACACCAAGAGAAATGTTGTAAGATAGTAAGCAGTATTCAGTAGCCCATAAGATAATATTCCAGATATTCCATATCTCCTCAATCTCTTCAAGATCCTGACAAGAAGAAGAATGAGATCACAAAAAAAAAAAATGACCCAAGAAAGTGGACTAGTACCAAACTTAACGCAATTTTTTAATTTTTTATTTTAAAGGAGATGAAAGAAGGAAGAAATAAATAAATAAAAGAATTCATCAAGCCAAGACGATGTAGAAAAGGCACAAATGGACTTCATTTAATCAAACTTGCTTATCAAAAATATAAATAATCATAATCAAACTTATGAAACAAATCAATTTTCTATGGCATCCATTTCCCTTGTGGTAGTAAAGTATGTCAGTCTAACTTAGTAATACTTCATTTAATTTAGAAAAAGACATTTAAAAGCAAAAGAATGTGAACAAACCTTTTATGACAAGATTCAGTACAGTCCATAATACATATAATTGGGAGCTCATGGAAATACGAACTAGAGGAAAAATGATCCTTGAAGTAATGAAGGTAGAAAAAACATATTGCTCTAGAACAAGAACTCCACCCTGCTTGGATAATTGCATTCATATATATATGTATTTATGTGTGTATGCAGAGAGAGAGAGATATAATTGTTTTCATAGTACAATTAGGGGGTGCAAAACCTGAAACGACAAACTAACATGACTCGAATACAACCCAAGATAAGTGAGTTTGGGTTTGGCTTAATCGTGTTTGGGTCGTAATCAAATCAACCCGAATTGGCACGCTAATTAACCATGTCATGTTTGTGTTTGACCGGCCAACCCGTTTCACTAAATGTGTCAGGTCAACAACACGAGAACGACCCAGCTCATTTACTATCCATTAAGCATGTAATTTTGTCGTACATTGGTTGAAATGATCCTAATAGTATAATTATGGCATGTCGTGTCATTTCATGTCAAGTTTTTACCCAATTACTAAATAAGTTATGCGGATCGTGTCGTGTCCGTGTCAAGGAACCTTGACATGGATAAAAATTGTACCGTGCTTGTGTCAAGAAACCTTAACCCCGATAAAAATTGTCGTGTTCGTGTTGACCTATATAGCAGGATACCCATGTCATCACACAACACATACAACATGGAAACACAAATTGCCACTCCCAAGTACAATGTCAAGGCATCTATTATGGCAAGGGAATTTTTATCACCATGGAAAACCTAATCATAGAGCTTAAGAAGTAGATGTGAAGATGTGGTAGGCTGACAGCAAGATGGCTATACCCTATAGAGAACGGTTGCCAATAGTGAGAAGTGTTATAAATATCCACGCTGGAAAGCAGTTTTCAAGTGTTAATTGGACTCTGGTGAATAAGATGTAAAGCCGTGTTCATCTGTTTTTAACTGGAATGGGGTGAAGCAGAAGTAGAATTAGAAGACAACTACCAGGGCTATGTAAAATTAGTGTATCAGTCGTTGAAGTATACTCTGCCACTGGAGGTCAACAATCAATAAAATAGCAAAAATTAGTGTAGAACCAGTACTAGATAGGAGCAAGAAGAAGAAGAAGTTTGCACCTGCTCAAACTCTTCAACAGCTTTTTTTCTTGGACAGTCTCATCTTCTCACAAATAGAAAGGAAAAGTGATCACACAACTCACATGTAGTATTTCACTATTATATGATAATTCCTAAATTTCTATATTCTTTCCCAACTTATTTTTTATTTTCAGACTAACTGTCTGATGCTATTATATTTTCCTTTTATCCTTCATAGACCTTCTAAAATTCTACCCCTCCCAATTTTTTCCTTTCTTTTTGTATTTGTAAACTAAACCTCAATGCTAAGATACGACATATATATAGGTGTCTGCTCTATACTCAATTTTAGGACTCACTAGCTGAGTCCTTGAAGCCTAAGATAAAATTATTAGGAGAGTCTAACACTTTAATACATACCTGTACCAAATTTATGTACCTGAGTCCAAATAACATAAGTTTTCATTTACTTATAAAAAAAAAAATTTAACATAAGTTTTCCGTTCAGCTTCTTATGAACAACTTTTCTCACATCAGCCAACAAAAGAATGTGCAACATTACCTATGGGATGTGTGAACAGCACAAAAACTGTAATTCCCAAAAAAAATGACATGAAACCACACTTCATTTTGCACACAATGAGACAAGGTACAAAAGGTAACCATATTGTCCCTCTTATGCTAAACCAAACTCTTGCACAACTTGAACTGAGTATGTGACAAGTCAACATAAGTATTGCACTGTTTAATACAAATTCATTTGTTTATTAATTTGGTATAAAAGTGTATTAGTGACAAGTACCAAGGGAGGGCAACCCATATATACACAAAGTACATGTGTCAAATATACTGATACTTGTATTACCCAAAAACTTTACAAAAGAATCAGTAACCAAAAGATCTCTCCCAATCTCCAAAATTTATGTGTGTGTGTGTGTATATATATATATATATAGAGAGAGAGAGAGAGAGAGTGAGTGAATTTTAACTTCACTACTGAAATATCAATCCCTTCAAAAAAGAACATGCAACTTTCGCTCCAAAATGAACCACTGCAAGGAATGGAGTACCACATTTAACACAAGATGAACCCTCTAATTAGTCTAGCACCCTCCAAATAGAGAAAACCTCAACAGTAAGCTTGGAAAATCCCAAAGAGGGAGAGGAAATGGCCCATAACTCTCTTGCAGCTGAACAGCAGATGGGCAGATGGTTCACCCTCTCTTCATCATTATTTCACATAAAGCACCTAGTTCTGGTAAAGAAATGCCTCTTTTTTATTTATTTATTTTTTTTCCTTTTTCACTGGGTTATCAATCACCAAGATTTTTCAAAGTGTTGCGTCCCACCCAAAGAGCGTCATTTTGGGAGGCACTTTATCCATGCCAATAAGCCTTCCAAGGAAATCAGCTGAAACCTCACCCTTTATGATCCTATATTAAGTGGCAAAGATGGAATTTGCCCCTTCTCGGCACTAACTCAAGAAATCCTCCACTTACGCAGTCCACTTTTTAATCATATTAAGCAAACCAAGAAAAAGTGGTGAAGGCCTCCAACTCCCAATCCTGGAAGCCCCTACAGTTCCAAACCACCCCACCCTTCAAAATCTTGAGCCTCCTTATCCTGCATAATTTGGTACATATCCAAAGACATCCTCCTCAGAGGACTGTCTACTAACCACAAACCTGATTGACTATGAGAAATCCCCCCATCCCTTGCTTATTTTCTTCTAAGAACCTACCCCACATGACACAATAACCTCTATCAAGGACCAATCTGTCTACTGTATTCCTCCACCACCCTTCACACACTATTAACAATGATTTCTTATACGACTTGAGGTGCCCAATTTCCAGACCACCACAATAGATATGGGAAAACGCAGAATCCAATAAGATGATTTTTCTAATTCATCTCCCAGCCCATCCTGAAGAAGATGTCACTAAACCTTCTCCAATCTCTCCACCAAGACTCTAATAGGAGTTATTCACTTTGGTAAGTTTGGTTGACAAAGAAACATAAGAGTTTGTACTTTTCTTGTTGACTATTTTTGCATTCAAAGCATACATATTTTGGTTGAAAATAATTGATAAATAACACTATCAATGGTTATATTAGAGCGTGTAGCCACTTTCAGGATAGGCTCCAAACATTAAAATTCAGGCCTCAAGTGGTTATAAAATTGGCACCCGTCTAATTTAACCTTCTATAGTAGACTACATGGATGAGCTTTGCATCATACTAATTCATTGTTTGAATGATTTTCATGTAAATTCTTATTTTCTCACACTAGTTTTGGATTCTTTTTTTAAATGAATAATTTTGCAATGGAGGAAGAATATCACCATTTTTGTTCAAAAGATAACAAAGTGGATGATTGGCTCGTTCCATACACTTTGATGTAGTGTAGGTAATAATTATATATTTCACCATAAATTGGGTATCTTTTTTTTTTTTTTTTTTTTTTTGGGGGTTTTGAAATAATGTAACAACTGATGTTGTAAAATGTAAATTTGTTTAGGTTCAGACTCCTAGTTTTATCTTCTTAAAATTTGAGAGTCCTGGGGCCATGCCTCTGAAGGCCTGATAACGCAGTGATATCCATGGGATTCCCATGCTACCACATTAGAGGCAGTTAGTTCTTGCCTTGCCATGGTATTTTAGGTATCAAGATTCTCAACAAGAACAAAGAAATAGATGTACACAACTGGGAATGGTCCCAGAACGAAAATTTCAATCAAGATTCTCAACAATAAGAATAGAAAAGTGATCCTTGAAATGCCCCTACTTCACTAGAAACTAAACTTTTACTTTTAAATTTCAGAATTGTTAAGGTTGTATTATCCTTCCATTGTGGCATTGATTGGTTAATAACAACAGAGGTAAAAAAAAACAGGAGGTAAAAGTTAAGGATTTTGACCACCTATGAGGCTATGACATAGTTATTGTTTTCACTTTAATTTGAAAGCTACAGGTTAAAAGACCTCCAGAAACAGTTACCTCTGTTACTGTTTTTAACAAGAAAATGTAATATAAGAAACAAATACACAACTGAATTATTGGCCAATAATATTGTAAGGCAGTAGTAAGTACTCGTTGAAAGTGGGCAATTTTCCTTGACTAGTTTCATTCTCCTCCATTGAACCTAAAACATATTATGAGGAAACGTTTCAGAAACCTACAACTCTGAATGTATGAAATTGTAATATGGCATTTATATATCTTATACCTAGTTATTCAGCAGAAATATTAGTACCTTCATTGTCTCCAAAGCTGTTGTGAGCATCTGGCATGCCACAAGCCTAACCTTGCAAGGAAGAGAAATCATTAGCAAGAAACTAGCGAATATTTTAAACTTTAAATTTCATTGAAAAAGTAACAAAGCAAAACAATTGAATTATCATCGCATGCAATTCCAGCTGAAAATAACTAAAATAGGAGGAAGGAAGGAAGGAAGGGGGGGGGGGGGGGGGGGTCCGCGGGGGCGGTTTGGTTGAATCATGTACTTAACCTTAGGACTGGGACATTGATTCCTGAAACGGTCTGTCAATCATAAAAATGCGTAGTCAAATTCCAAGGGTATCCACTAAATGCAAATTACTGATGATCTTAGATCATGTGGTAAGCCATCATTTCTTTAGAGAAGTCATATCCACTTACGAGTCACGACATTCTTGAAGACTTAGTGGCATAAAGCAACTGTCCATGGTATTTATTTGAACCTTAATGTATGGTTATCAATGTGTTGTTTTTATAGATCTATTAGGTTTAAGGAATCAAGGAATTTCTTTTTGTCCCCCAGATTCAATGGGTCTGCTTCATATTAGTAATCCATAGTAGTATTTTGTGTGAGGTCCTCTTTCGGATTTGTCAGTTGATCTTTAATATATATCCAACAATCTTGATGTCAAAGTTTCCAAAGTTACTATTTCTGAGTCATAAAATTGAGCTTTAGAGAATTAATGATTGTTTGATGTGTGATATAACCTAACCTTAGTGAGTGAAGAGTACAAGAGTCTAAGTGAGATTTCTCGATTCTTCTTCTCCAATACTGTTTATGGATTACTATTTGCAACCACAGAGGAGTCCTAGTATTTTTCCCAAAATCCTACTAAACCAAGCCCTAATTAACCCCAATCTTTTTCCCTACCTTTTGGTCTTTAATTTAACACCTAAAACAAAAAATAATCACAGTCCAGAATTTCCAGCAACAAGTTTTCAGAAATTTTAGCAGTCAACCACTCTGAAAGACTGAAACCCAAGCCAGCTTCAATTCCTTTCGTCTACAAGATCTATACTTTTTATTCTACCTTTTAATCCCTAAAACCTAAAGGCTATCTGTACTCTTAGTTCCATAAACCTCATCATAACAAATATTGTTCCAAGTTGCTGAAAGGTCCTATTTCATCATGCCTCCAAGTATCCTGGATCAATGATACCGCAAATTAAATGCTCTAATAGGTCGACACGGAAACACCATTATACTCCAATATGAACCAAACGCCACACATACAACTGTAGATATATGTATGTACTAGTAAATTTCTTTTCAAGGTACGTTTTAAAGTATAAGTAAATTACAGATATTGGCTTTAGTAATGATGTCAATTTTGGTAAACTGATTATATATGTGCCTAAATTCATTGTACTGTATTGTAGGTTCAGTGGTTTACCCCTTTCTCAATCCACAGACCACAAATAGTAATGTTTCAGCCTTGCAGCATAACTCATAGTCACACCACTATTGTGCACCGAGCTCAAGGAGCCCCAGACACTTCTCCTAAACGAGGATGGCATGACGTGTTAACAACCATCTACTCCAAAAGCTTACGCTGTTAGAGGATGTAACATAAATATTTAATCCTTCAAGTCGCCCCCTCACGTGTTGCAGATAAGGAGTGAGCCGGGGATCTTCGATCGGGTGTGGACTCTCCACCAGCTTAGAAGAAAAGATTGATCAGTCTCCACCTGCATGTGTTTCAATTTTAATTATCAGGGTGATGGTGAGGTTTCAACACAAGACCTTGCCTGCTCTGATACCATGTTAACAACCATCTATTTCAAAAGCTTAAGCTATTAGAGAGGATGTAACTTAAATATTTAAATCCTTCAACAACATGAACCAAGGTGCATGAGCACTAAAGCAACATTGATAGGAAAGGTGATCAAGAGCCAAACCAATCGCTCCCAATGGGAGATTGCCCAGTTTAGGAGATGGATTTATCCGCTATCAAGATTAAACTTCAAAGTATGGTACCTAATTGTTGCCCCATATATCAAGTAAGTCCAAGCACTGTGTACATTGACTAAGGGATTGATATACATGATCCAAGATAGAGTACATAAAGGATATGAAACAATTTAGCTGGAATTGCTTATGTGCCAACCAGCTCATGGAGTAGAACATTGTGTGGGGAGACAACACGTGGAAAAGAATAGTCACATGTGACCCACCTCATAGAGACATGTAGCATAATGGAGTGGTCACAAAGGCTGTTAAATTGAAGGCACATGGCAAGGTGGAGCTCAGTATCACACTAATCAAAAGTATTTTTAATTTTATTTTTGGTGTGTGAAGTCTATTGTTAAATGATTTTTTTTTTTTTTTTTTTTTTTTTTTTTTTTTTTTTTTTTTGTGCATTTCTAAGCTTAGAAGTCGAAAATTGGATAAAAATTCCATGGGGTTGACTGTTACTAAAAACTCAAAGAGTTGAGCACTGGTGCTTAGAATCTTGAGTACCGATTCTCGAGTTAGCAAACACAGTTTTAAGACTAAAAATCCCATTAGAACACCGGTCAACTCACACAGAAACCCTTCCGATCTCTCTCACTCCCTACTACCGGTTCCTAAATCAACCCATCTTCACAAACAATCTGATTATTTGATTTCTCAAATACCCACTCACTTTTAATCAGAAAATCAATTGATTTTTCAATGAATTCATTTTATTTTGTGTATTTTAAAGCTTACAAGCCAAAAATTGGGTTAAATTACATGTTGACCATTACTCAAAACTCCAAATTGTTGAGCACTGGTGTTAAATCTAAGTACTGATACTCAAGTTAGCAAACACAGCTTTAAAGCAAATAATCCCATTCAAAACACCAGTCAACTCACACAAAAAGACCCCCAATCACGCACACTCCTTATCACTGATTCCTAAATCAACCGATCTTTAGAAACAATCTGATTGTTTGATTTCTCAACTCCCCACTCAGTTTTAATCAGAAAATCACTTGATTTTGCTTTTCTACTCCAAGTTCTTGCCCTAGTTGTTCTCATGGCAAGTGGTGAACGATCTTCACATAGAAATAAATGAAATTGGACATGATAAGAAAGCAGTATAAAGCTCAATCCCGCACATTCTATGACAACTAATTCAAGTCTAGGTATGAATCTCCTGTCAGGGATAGACCAGTACAACTAATGGGTAGTGACTATAGAGAATTAGGAGGCAAAATATATGTTTTTGTTAAATGGTTTTGTGAGAGAGATTAAATGTCATTGTTGGAGATGAACAAGAAATCTGCAAATCCACTCCTTATTTTGTTTGTCTAATCTACGCTAACATGTATGATTTTAACACGAGTGCTCCTCATTTTTTTTTTTTTTTTTTTTGATAAATAACATGAGTGCTTCTCAATTAAAATCATATATTATGGCAAATAAATTGGCATTAATATGGATTTGATTTCTTCCATTTTGTGGTATCCCCAAAAAGAGGATATATTGATTTTGCAACATAGCGGGTGAACACAATAGGTTGTCCATTCAAGAAATCTCAACCTTGTTTATGAAGAGAGGACAACCAAATACCAAGTTTGAAGGAAAAAGTTTATTCCTCAATTTTGTTATCCTGATTTTTTTTTTGATAAGTCAATTTCGTTATCTTGAATAAGATAAAGAATCAAAACAATTGCCCCAATGTCTACAAAAAGTACCTTTCTCATTCTGAAAATGAACTGCTTTATTCATAATTTCATACAAGGAATGGAGCCTGATTAGTATGCTTGCTTTGATGTTAAGACCTTCACTTTAGTGGCACAACAAAATAGAAAATTGACTCTGTTGCAAATTAAGTTATATGATTTATGTTAGGTGTCACGCCCGGATTTTGGTGTCTACATTAGGCTATCTTAAGTTTTATCATTAATTTTCCAAATGGAGAGGTTGGTAGGGTTTAGTATGTTGGCATAGTTAGTGCCAAAAGCTTTTTAGTTTGTAATTTTTCAATTTAGACAAGTCTTGAGTCATTTGGTTTGAGTTCGTTTGTGTAGACAATGGTTTGTGCTTATTGAATATTGAACAGTAATACATTTAGATACATTATTTCATGCTTCATATGTTTGGATTTTATTTTAGAACGCTTAAATTTAATTTGATATGGTTTAAAGTGTTTCTGAAAAGACTTTCACAATGCGTGCTGGTGAGCACCAGAATTCAGTTCTGCGAGCACAAATAATAATCAGAGCACTCGGTCACTCAATATTTGAGCACTGGTAATCAGACCATTAGTAAGCAGAAAAAAGGGTTCACCCAAATTCAAAATAGTTTCAGAAGTAAAAAATCAAGACACTTTCAAAAAATACATACATCAACCAAATTGGGGCAATCAGAGTTTTAACCCATCATAACTATGGCCAATTCCTATGAAGGGAACATTACATATAAGAAAATAAATAAAATAAAGAAGCAATTCCATATACATGCAAATCCAGACATACCCTTCTTATTTTTTATCATTTAAATGTCATCAACCAAAATGGGGCAATTAGAGTTTTAACCCCATCATAACTTAGACCAGAAGGGAACATTACATATAAAAAATTAAATAAAAAGAAGCAATTCCATATCTATGCATGCCCTTCTAATTTCATCAGTAAAAAATGTGAATATTCAACGAAACCTTTCCATATAAACGATATATAAAGCAAACTTACATTGTGGTTCGCAGAGCAGAGTCGAAGACAACGATCGAAAGAGAATTTCTTGAGTATCTTCTGCGAGTATGAGGGTTTGGGAACTTTGGGAATGATTATTTCTGGGTACAATTCACTGAAACCCTTTTGGGGGAAACAAAAGAAATGCAAGATTTTGATTTATGTTAGAACAAGAATAATAGTAAAAAATAAACAACTATTTATTAGAGAAATAGAGCGCGCTTACTAGGCGATGTGAGAGTCGAGTTGTAGTATGGTAAGAGAGATGAGACATTGTCAATGTGAGAGACATTATAGATCCTGAGTGAAGAAGATAATGGGCGGGAGGAAAAATGACAGCTTCGCGTGGTTTTTATTCACATTTAATGAAGGGGAACTTTTTTATTTTAATTTTTTATGGATTAATTTCAAGGGTTAATTTAACCAAAAAAAAAAAAAAAAAACATACTAGAACGGAGACACCAAAAAATAAGCACACCAAAAAATAAGCACACAAAAGTAATTACAAATATGTCAACTCTTCTTGAATACATGGAGACCAAATTACCCTACATACATTTTAAAATTTACTAAATAACCCTTACTTCTCTTTTCATCTCATATCTTTACTTTACCGGCCAATCTAACAGCTATTATAAAGTTTGCTTCACGCCGATGACAAAGACTAAATCGGTGAAGTTACGAAGACCCAACACTGACCTTCACGCTAGCAAAGATAGACCCAACAGTAAGCTTCATTAATTCTGACGTTTGTAATGTGAATGGTACTTATTTTCGAAAAAAAAATTCATGTGGAGACAAGTCAAAATGGTAATAAGGTAATTTTACATGTCAAAAGTGGTCTGACATCATTGAAAATTGACGTTTTGAAATGTGAATGAAAAATAAACCAAACGTTTGTAACGTGAATGATACTTATTTTTGAAGGGTGTCTTCATGTGAGATTTGTCCAAATCTCAAGGGATGGTACCATTAAAAAGTGATATTTGAGGTGTGAGATGATGTTGCCCCTTGCCCCTAACTGGGCTCAAGCATTCAACTTTCTTTTAAAAAGAACTGATATTAGCATGGATTATTATGTTGCACTTGCACAAAACTACTCAAGTAGGATTTGGGGTTTGGAAATATAAAATCGATATTTGAATTGGAGTATGAAGAAAATTAAAAGTATGGAGTATTTTCTTGGTAGATCAACTAACTTCCCGATCAAGTGTACCCATGTTCGAGTCTCCTCTCCCTAGTTTGCTAGGAAAAAAAAAAAAAAAAAAAAAAAGAAGTACTTTCTTACTCCATGCCTATATTTTTTAAAAAAATAATTAAATTTTAGTGACCAAGTGTAATGAGTGAGTGCTTCGCAATCCAACCCAAAAGCTTAAGCTATTAGGTGAGGTTAATACTCTACCCATATATATACCCATTCATTTTTCCATTTGGATTTCATATTGGACAAGCTCCCCTTTATTACATTCTCCCCTACCTGAACTTATAACGCCTTCATTGCGGGGACCACACAGCCTACTTGGGGTGCACACCCGAACGCCCTCCAGGCCAATGATACCGGATCAATGACTGGTCTGGCTCTAATATATACCAACTGTAATGGGTGGATGTTTCACGATCCGACCCAAAAACTTAAGCTATTAGGTGGGGCTAACACCCAATCTATATATACCCATTCACTTTTTCATCCAAATCCGATGTGGGACAAGCTCCCCCATGCCTGTATAAAATTGCTCTAAGAGTGACCACAAAATTAAGAAAAGATGAATAATAATCAAAACTAAAACTTTTAAGGATAATTTTGTCATTGTTCACTTAAAAAAATTAAAATAATTTATGCGGACAAATTGACCCTCCCAATTCTCTGCGAAACTAAACATGAATACCTAAGGGTCCGTTTGGACGGCGATAATGTTTTATGTTATGGTTTGCTATGATATGAAAACAACCGTTTTGATATTAGTATGTTTTTAGTAGAAATCGGATCCATGTTTGGTAACGATTGTTTTATTTTTGATAATTGTATATCAGAAATATGATAACGTGTTTGGTATTGTCATGTGTTTTAAGGAATCCGAAAACAAAACACGTTTGGGAAGTTAGTTTTGTTATCAAAAATTCTGAATCAATAACAGAATACCTATTTGGTAAAGACTGTTTTGTTTTTGTTTTGAAAAATTATATATATGAATACAATTGTAAGTTTATATATAAATAGTCCATTTTTCTTTATGATTTGAGATAAATTGTTAAAATTTTAAAAAATAAAATAAAATAAAAATATTCTGCATTAGAGTTGGGAAAAAAAATTATGAATAAATTTACATGTAGTGGCAACCAAACTACAAATCTTAAAATTTGTAATAATGAATAAATCTGCATAAACATGATTAATGGCAACCAAATTACAAATCTAACTTTGTAATAATCTTTCAATGAGAGCAAATATTTACACTCCATTTATCTTTTTCTTTTGGTTTGCATTCCATTTAACTTTGTTTTGTTTCATATATATATATATATATATATATATATATATATATATATATATATAAGTTCATGATGAATGTGAGAGAGAGAGAGATCCTTGTAGTTGAAACTAATAATAAACAAAGCCAAAACGTTGATCTTCTTGAATATCCATACGATAAATATCCATCTGTCGTATCTGTGTATTAGTAGCACTGGCCACCTGAACATCGTCATCCACATCAGGTTCATTTTGTGAAGATTGAGGGGTTTCAGAATCAAAAATTTCATCAGATTCACCTTGAGATCTTATGAAATTATGCAATGTACAACAGGTAATGATAACAAGAACTTGAGTGTCAAAGTGATAAGGGGGCATTTGCTTCAATATAGCGAATCTCATCTTTACCAACCCAAAACATCGCTCTATGATATTCCTCAATGACGAGTGCCTAAAATTGTACACCCCTCTACCATGTGGTCCTCTAGTATGTCTACCATATTCCTGCATGTGGTAACGTTGACCCCGGTAAGGGGCCAAAACCCCGGTTGATTGGCGTACCCAGAGTCCACTAAATAAAACTTACCTGTCATGTTAAGTATTAAAATTAACGTATTTGTAATGTTAAATGCATAAATATGGAAAGATAATATTTTTACCTTCAGGTGGTGATGGAAAATTGAAATCCTCATTCTAAATGCACTCATTTAAAATCTTCAAATCATTAGCAGACCTTTCCCACCCTGCTAGAATGTATGTGAATTTCATATCAAATGAACACACAGCCATGACATTTTGGGTTGTATCACCCTTTCTACCACGAAAGGGTATTTGTTGGTCAACTGGCACTACAGCATGGATATGAGTACCATTTATGGCTCCTACACAATTCTTAAAGTATGGGTAAAACTTTGGATTGTTCTTTATCTCTTTAGGAATTTTATTCAAATTCGGGGGAACAATAATCTTAGTCCCTAACTCACAAATTAACTTTAAGACAGTATGAAAGTGATATGAAATTGTGGATGTAGAGTATTGGAATTTTTCAGCAACGACACGATTCATTTCATTGTGAGACATGGTAAGTAGGAAAATTGCAACTTGTTCTTCTACTGTTAGAAATGTTGAATTTTTCAATCCTAACAATTTCAACTCACGACACTATGCCCTAAAGGTGTTGGGGTACATCCGAAAATTTTCATAACACCTATCTTCATGTCCATTTAAGAGCTCGAATATGTAATCTTCCCCTTGTAACATGGAATCCCTACAACGTTGCTTATCAAAATGTTTATGATAGTACTCATATACGGCTGCGATCAATACAAGAATTTCCTCCTCATCATCATCATCATAAATGGTTAATATTGTCCTTATATCCATAGTTACTGTCCTATTTAAGAATAAACAGAAGCAGTTATTGTAATAAAAATTAAGCAAAATGGAAAAGACATACCAAATCATACAATTATCCAGCAATAATGTAAAAGCAATAGATATAGAACATAAATAGTTATCCAGCATTAATTTAAAAGCAGTAGATAGAGGAATTAAATACAGTCTTCCAACAATAATGTAAAAGCAGTAGATAAGAAAAATTTATTACAGTCATCCAACAGTAATGTAAAAGCAGTTATAAAACAGTCATCCAAAAGCACATAAAAGTAAGATATCGAATAAATCACACAGGCTGATTCATCACCCACCCAACCTTCCTATCATCAGGAATGCGAAAAAATATGTCCTTTCACACCTTGTCCTCACCAAACATCCTTATGATCTTAGCATAATGGGTATCATCAATCCCCACTAATGTGTTAATGATCTTAACGCACTTTATCCATTTCTTTTTCTTTTTTATTGGGAGATGTCACTTCAGGCATTTCGGTAAATCGAAATGGTTGACAACTAGAAGATGATTCTGCTATGGCTTTTGTAATTTTATCAGCTTTCGCGTTCCAAATATTAGTCAAACATTCCATCACTAAAGACATTATTTCTGAAAAAATTTCTTTCTTCTGTTTCTTAGCTATAGGTTTGGGAGTAGGACTGAGGTCAATAGGTCGTTCTACATTAGGTCGTTCTACATTAGTCTTGCCCGCATTGCCCTCAGTGTTATGAATTTTAGCTTCATGTGTTGCCACTTGAGGCATTGTTAACACTTGGGGAGATCTGGGTGGCTTTGTAGAAGGATGAACATGCTTGCCAGTAGCATGTGTATTCCCAAAAATCCTTACCATCTGCTCATAATTCTTACACCCCTGTTTTTTTTTATTTTTTTGCCATACTTGAGAACCTACACGTTATTAGCTTACAATTATTGTTCATCAAACCCTTTTAATACTAAATCACTAATTACTAACTGTATGTATGGTAAATAGACACGTATTGAAATACTAACCTTGCACAATCGAACCCATCTTTCAGCTTCCAACTCAATCATCCCAGTTTCACTGTTGTACCCTACACCAGTCTCAGATAATATTTGTTTGCAATCTTTGTACAGTGCTCTTATATTGTTGAATTTTTGTCTACATTGGTCATTCGTGTACTTCTTTCCAGTTTCCAATAACATTGCGTCCACAATATGTGTCCACCCATTTGGATTAAAAGTCGTGCCTGTACGATTTCCTTTTCGAACGTCTTCCTCTATCAAGAGCATGAATTTCTCTTAATGGACATCACACCAAACAGCGGCATCGGCCTGTTCAATAACTATAACATCCTCACCATTCTCACCATCAAGAGAATAAATGTCTCTTGATGGGTATTACTTAACATTGTCATTGTTCACGTCCATCTGATTATTATTAAGTAATTGAACAGTTTAGTACATTGAATTGTGTTTTGACTCATAATTCAACACGTCAATGATAAGTAAAGAAGGTATTGTCTATAAAACACTTCAATAAGGAGCAAAAAAGAAGAAAAAATAAAGTAAAAATGTGATAAAACCTTAAAGCTGTTTTTGTGTGTGTGTGTGAATTTGAAGAATAAATTTATTTTCCTGCAAAGTAACACACAAATACTTTGCTCCTATGAAA